TCTCTTTGCTTTGCGGCTTCCTTTAACACAATAAAAAAATTCCAGCAGATCTGGTGAACTCAAAGGAATTTTGGGATATTTCATCATTTTCTCCGGCTGACTCTTCTATTTTCCTTTTTTAACTCACAGTAGCTTACCTCTGTCAATACAAGTCAGGCATCTTTCCAGGGGACTATTGTGGTCTAGAGGTTACGGTGTTCGCCTTTCATTCCATAGGTCCCTGGTTCGAAACCTGACAGCAATGTAAAATTTTCTTCTGTAAAATTTTCTCCTTGCACCTCCTTTCCTGCTCTCTGACCATGTTCTGCCGTCTGCTTTCGTCTCCACTTTCTGCCCCCTCCCCCCCTCCCCTTCGCCCCCTACTCTGGGCTTTTGACTCTTTCTGTTGCCTTTCTACTGATACTCCTTGGCTCCTTCTTACTGCTGTCTTTCAGCCATACTCCTGATCTTATGGTAGTTAACATCTAAAACCTAGCCTTCTCAGATAAGGGCACAAAATCTTGGAGATCTTTTGTGTGCAAGTTGTGCGTGTTAAAGATCCCTTGGTGGTCCAAAATCAATAAGATTAGGCTTCGGACACCACCCGCGCAAAATTAAAAATTCCTACCAACTGAAAATTAGGGCTGGGTCGCGAGCGTGAGAACGGAACTGAATCGCCACTCTTGCCTGCGGAACGTGATTCACAATTCACTTTAGCGGAACGCGGAACAGTATCGCCAAACGATTCCCGATTCACTCCCTTGTCGCTGTCACCACCTTGTGGCTTGTTTAACCTACTGCTGAGTCGAGTCACGAGCGCAAGAACGGTACGGAACACTTATCTCGGCTCCCCTTATTTTACAAAAGATGGTATAGTCCAACCCCCCTATTAAAACAAAATGAACGGGGTCCAACCAATAGACAGAAGGAATTTTATGGAGCCATTGTTTTAGCGAATCTTGGGGTTGGAAGGGGGGGGGGCCTGAATTTATGGGGGTTGCTAATTGAGGTCAGGTGATAGAGCAGCGCAACAAAGGGTGTGGGACGGAGAGGATGGCGGAACAACAAGAGTGGGACTCGCGCTCGCCAAGTGGCGTTGATATGACACTGTTCCGTTTCAGTCTGTACTCCGCCACAGTTCCACAAGCGCTCGCGTACTCACGATTCTTTGAAGCCGACTGAATCGCGAATCGCCACTCTCAAATTTGGGGAGCAGGATCCAGCCCTACTGAAAATATTTAACCCTGTCCGTACGTCGTGTTTTACTATCATATCCATACGACGTTGGGAACTCTGTGCCACCACTTTCCAGAGAGGAAATTTACTAGTTAATCCGATCCGTACGCTTTGCATAGCAGTCTGTCAAAATGATTTTTTGAAAAATACAGAAAGTTTCAAAGAGATCTTCGTACTAGAAGTATTCTAAAAGGTGAAGAATACAACTTCAGGGGTACATAATTACCCCAGGGCGTACGGATAGGGTTAATGTGTCTCATGCTCTCATTTGACATTATGCATTTGTGAGCATCGTAAAACCGTTATCAAAAAGGTTTCTTTGCACTTCTTGTGCACTACAGTTGAGGATAGAGTGGCTTTGTTTGCTTTGTTTAGAAGGACCTGGAGGTGAGACACGGGAAAGCTGCCAGCCATCCCTAATGTAATGGGAGCGTCAAGTTTTATAAATTTTCAGATTTTCTTTATAATGTGCAGCTATGATTTATCAAATCCATGTTTTATTATTATTTAATTTGTTGGGTTTTTTAAACTGAATAGCAGTGTGGAAAATTATCAAGTTAGCAGCACCAGCCTTTGAACCTCATTTTGTATGGTCAAGGTATCTGTTTGAGGTTGAACATAAGGGTTCCCTTCTTTTCCGTTTCCTAAGGATGGGTGCTCTGCATGTGTTATTAATGACTAAAACTGGTTACACATGACCAGAATCTGATTTGAACTATAAAAAAGTTACCTCCCTTTTTTTGTTCTTTTCATTAGTGCTCTACGTAGCACAAAGAAATTTTCTGGTCCCGTAATGTCTGTGTTATCCTGGTTCTATTTAGTCTTCTTACCCTCTGAGCAAAGAAAAATGTCAAATTTCTGTGTACCCCTTCGCTTGGAAAATGTTCAATTAAATGAGTGCCAGCATATAACAATTATGGTAATACTTTTATTGTGCTTTGCACCAGCCTATTGTGTTAATAAGATTGCTTGGGTTTTCTTTCTCACAAAAATCAATGCAGACAAGAGACGATGAGGACACAGGAGGAGCAGAGAAGAAAGAAGGGCGGCTTACGAGAAGACAGCTTTCCAGTTCTAGCAAACTTGGCAAAAAATCCAGCAAAGCTCAGAAAGTTTCAGCAAAAAAGAAAGAAAAGAGTTCAGAAACTGCCAGGCAGAAGGCAGCGAAAAAGAGTACAGTTGGTGCTCAGTCTAATTCAAATCTTACACTTGTGGAAAACAAAAAACAGAAACAGTCAAAAGATGGCTCAAGGATCACAAGAAGTTCCTTGAAAGGGAAAGTTAAATAAATGGTGAGCTTATTTCATCTGTGGTCAGGTTCAATTAATACCTGAGTAACGAGTTGATTTGGAATAAGGATCAAGCCTGGCATTGATCTTTTCTATGTTTGTGAGGGGTTCCAAGAAAACTCGTCTGAAGATGCAGAAGGTTATTCTCAGATATCCTGTAAAATAGACGTAGAAGATTAAGCTTTTTGAATAGTCGAAAATATCAGTCTTAAACATTTTCGTCCCACTAAAAGTTCCGTCAAAGCTCCCTCAGATTTTGCAACGAAAAAAAAAACATGCGTACAAAGAGTTGTAGAAATAAGTTGATCAGCAGTCTTCAGATTTTAAGCCTCATACTTTCATTTTGGTCAAATGTTTTTGCCTCATTGTGGGCTCACTTACTTGAACAAATTTATGAAGCAGGTTCCATCTTATGAAAAGAAATGTGTTGGATTGAGGGCAGCCCACGCCTCACACTCAGAGCCAGAAATGATTTATATTTACCGAGTAAACTGGTGCCTCTGAAGATTATCCATTTTGATAAATCAGTAATATAGAAAGCTGTTTGATTATAATATTGTTAAACTTTTAGTGGTCTCCAGTCTTGCAGTTGGGGGGGTGCACTCAATCCTTTCTCATAGTGGCATCTGCACTTTTTGGGGGTTTCCAGTAAAGGGAGACACTTAGACAAAAGAGTACCATATGTTATAATTATTCATGTAACTGGAGAACGATGTCGTCTTGGCCTTAAGGCTAAGGTCATAGATGAAGCTCAAATGTGTGCCAAATAACATCTCTAAAAACTATATTGCCTGGTGCTGTTGACACCAAAAATTTTGTCAGGTATTGTGTTGACAGATATCCTGAAGGATCTTGAACAGTAAGACATAGCAAGGTTCATGAGCAGAAATACTTGGGTAGTGCTACATGTACTTGTTATTGAAAGCAACCTGAAACATGAAATCAGCTTTGTTGAACTTTATGCATGAGCTTCCATTGTTTCTCGGGCAATATCCAAGGTGAGCAAACTACAATTGCACTCACACTCTTGTTTACCTGCACTGTCCGACTTAAAACTAGTATTGCAAGCCCCAAGAGATGTATATCCAGATCCACAGCGCATGTACTGTTGAAACCAAAACATATATTCAATACTTATAAGTACACTTTAGTTGGCTTATGAATTTATTAAGAAGTTTTTTTTCAAAATTGTGAGATGCCCCAATTTCAAGCAATATTTCAGCAACAGAATCTATGATGAACTGCTTTGCCTCATTTGTTTTTCAAAGGAATACATCACGTAGGTGGTATCCAAATTGTTTGTTAACAAGTTATTCTGATATTGCTATTTTTTGTGACAAAAAAATAGTTTTTGTTCATTCATTAACATTTCCTTGTTGTATTACAATGTTCACATGCTTTTTCGTAGGTGGTTTTGTTTACTATTGAAAGTGTCATCTTATCTATATGTGTTCCCCTGTTATATTGCAAAGTGTACTGACCAGTTCATAGGATTTATTTCTTTGAGAGATTATTTTGTATTCTAAATGTCTGCTTTTCAATGTCAATCCCAAAATATGATATATTATGTGATCACCAATTAATTGCATCAGTTGTCAATTGATGCAGAACATATAAAAAGTTTTACCATGATTGCTTATAGGTCTCGTGTCTGTTATATATTGAAACTGGAAGAAGTTAACGTTTTTTTTTACATTTTTAAGACTGAATATCTTTCAAATGTTACACGTGTATGGTGAGTAGTTCGAAGATTCTTGAAAGTCTTGTTGCCGCCACTGCTCAATTGTTTTCTACTTTTCAGTAAATTTCAAATACTGTATCTTCTACAACGTGTTCAGCATGGTAAACGGGAAGAGAAAGACAGAATGATATTCTTATTATTATATTACATAATTCTATCTTTATTTGATTGGGGGGGGGGGGGGGGGGGGAGGAGGGGAGGAGGAGATAGATGGATACAATATCCCTGGAGAAAGATGTGGATACTCGATTGAAATCATCCTTCTCACAAGGGAACATACTCATATCTCCTGGGTGCAATGGCAAAAAGCTCAACCGGTACTCCTCGTACAGAAGTAAGCGGCCCTACGCGTTTTGAGCCGCATTCATCTTGACTTTACTCACAGCCACTCCTGTCACGACAGTCAAGAAGAGCAACGTCACAGATACTATGACTATGATGACAATGTCTTCGGGTCGTAACTTTGTGTAATCGCGAAATTGCAGTTCCTTCTTCAGTTGAGACTCAGTTGATATGACAGAGGGCGTGATAGTTGCTGATACTGCAGGGATGATGGAAGGATCCCAGAATTTAGTTGGCTCCAATAAAGCCATAGCCTTGAGATTTGATGGAGTCCGGCTAGAGACATTCGAGATCAGCCCTGAAGATGGTGTGGGGGTCATTAGTTTTGACAACGTCCTCAGAGTATTTGTGGCAGTAGTAGCCTTGACGTTTGACCTTTTCAATGAACGCAAGGTCATGATCTCCGACGTTTGAGCTGTGCTCCTGGGAAGTGGTGTTCTTGTGGTGGTTGTGGCTGTTGCACTTTGAGGTGTTTCATTGACCCCGTGAGCTGCCCCACTTCTGTTTCCTCGGCCAAGGGGGCTTGCCTCGGCACCGTAAATCTGCCCTCCCCTTTCGCCCGCATGGCAGAACAGGCAGAAAAGGATGAGGAGGGCAGCGCCAGTGGACCGAGGAGTGAACGCTCGGTGTAGGAATGGAGGCTCCAGCACGAACTTCACGAACACAGAGAAAAAAAAAAAACAAAGAAGAAAACACGTTTTAGTTATATGGATGGTCAGGAAGTTGTTTTGTTGTGTGTGGGTTTGTTTGTTGTTTGGGGTTTGGGTGGGGGGTGTTTTGTTTTGGTGTTATTTTTTAAATTCTTTTTTGTTATTGTTTGTTGTCCTTTGTTTCTTTGTGTCATGAGTCCATGTTAAATGGG